ATTCATTTGTTTTATCTTATAATGTGACTTCTGAAAACATTGTAAGATTTATCTTTTTTCAGTTCATATTGTCTTCATGTGAGTATATGACACAGAGAATGTGTTTTCAAATTGTTTTGTTTAAAATCACTTTTGATAGTTCTATTTTGTATGGCTCTGTGAACCAACAGGATGGGTAGATATTTAGGTACTTTTATTTAAATTTGAAATTTTAGGAATTGCTTTTTAAAAAATTAGTTCTTTTATGTTTATAATTCTGTATAATGTTTTCATGATTCCAAAATCAAGACAAGGCTACTTTTAAAGAAGGCTGATATCCTTGTTAGCTCTATTCCAATTCTCCTTCTCCTTTTTAGGGATAGCTTTCCAGGCTAATTTTGACTCATCTTTTTATTAATGTTTTTTAAATATAGTTTTATCTGAAATTTTATTTTTCCTATTGTGAAGAATGAAAATTTTCAATTTCAATACTGTAATCTCTGGACTTGGGTTTATAAGGATTTTTCTGGAAGCATAAGATGTGCCATGGAACTCTGATTAAAACTCTTTGTGGTCGTTGTAATTCCTTCTGAGCAGGTCTCTAGCCATTCCAGGCTCAGATGCCAAGACAGTGCAAAAGTTGAGTTTAGCAGATGCTTACATGGGGTTAGTTTCTGCATCCAGAATCTTCCAGGGAGAGGAATCTTCAGGCTTCATCCCTAATCAGTTGAGCCTAAACCAGTTTCTGGAGGCTGGGCCTCGGGCTTCAGATCCTTATCCCCACCCAGGTGATGCTAAGGTGCAGTCAGGATGAAGACCACCGTGTAAAAGATGAGTGAAGGCTAGGATATCTAGAATGTTGGTGGTTATGATTTCCCAGATTAACTGTTTTTCCTCTTTATCTCTGAATTTTTCTCAACTTCACTTTAAAACTCCCCCAGTTCTAAAGATTAACTGCCTGTTCATTTTTTTTTCCCTAAAAGCTCACTCTTTCTGCTAATATGTTTCACTTAAGTGTTGTTCTTTGTTAGCTTGTTTCTATTTTTGTGTGTTTTTTTTTTTTTCCATGAATGAGATATGGGGAAATTGAGTGAGAAATGTTTCAAGTACCTTAGCTTGGAGGAGGAATTCTATCCACTGCAGAAGTTCTAGTTTCTAACCTAACCCTGCAAGAAGTTATCGTAAGAAGCAAATGGTGGGACCCAATATCAGGTGCTTTCAGGAGACTGAATACCAAGGACTCTATCAAGAAATGTCTACCACGAGCTTCCCTGGCAGTCTGGTGGTTAAGACTCCATGCCCCCATTGCAGATGCAAGGGTTTTTGATCCCTGGTCAGGGAAATTGTAGATTCTGCATGCCACAGAATGTGGCCAAAATAAAAAGTCTGCCTCAGAGACTCAGACTCTCAGAGAATCCAAATAATGGATGTTATGGTATTAAATTCTGCTCTTTTAAAGAACATTTATGATTTCAGAGTTGTGAAGAATTCTTGTGAAAGAATAACTATATTCTCAATTGGTTTGTGGAAAGAATATACATGTGGTCATAGATTTATATCAAAAAGGAAGGGTTTAAGGGGACAGTGTTTGACCTTGTTTCTGCGTATCAACAAAGTTTTAATTCAGTTAGCTTTATGATTGATAATGAATATTTTCTCAGTTGTTTTATTTCTTTTTAGTTGGTGGTGAGAATCGGTAATGTACAGATGAGAGAATTCCTTGGTGGTGTCTGCCCACACCAGCGTACACATGGTAGGGGCAGCTCCCAGGAATGGCTGCCACCAGCATCTGTGTCCCCAGGGTGAGCCACAGCCACTCCTTGCCTCTCTGAGAGACTCTCCAAGACAAGGAGAATCTTCTGAAATTTGGTCTATCCTTGGGATTTACACCACTGTTTCATTTGCAGTTAATACTTGAACTAGAGCATTGAGCATATGCAGGAGCTAATCTTCTGGTAGCTGGAAAATCTTTCACCAGGTTTGCCTCAGCCAGTTTTACCAAATGCCAGAAATGGAAACACTCACAGATTACGAATGCTGCTGCCAGCTCTCCTGTTAAATTAGTCTTCATCTCTAACCTTTCCTTGTGTGTGGGGGGCATGCATTTACTCAGTCTACCTTTGATGGCCTCAGTCACTTCTGCCCTGTGTGTTCTGGAAGCTTTGAAGAATCATATTTAATATGTGTTTTCTTACTCTGTATATGTACTTGGGGTTTTGTTTTCACAATTTTGTGCTATTCACTATTTTGCTTTCTATTTTTTCTTTTTGAGAGACATTACTGGAAAATTGTTTTTTACTTCCTGTTATTTTTTATATGGAGCATAATATCAATTTTCTATTTTCCATAGTTGCAACTTATGCCAGAGTGGAAATTCCTTGTATGTTATACTTTTAATAAGTGCTCTGAGTTGCCATGACTGCTCCTTGTTGGAGGCAAAGTTGTGCATGTGTGCTCAGTCACTCAGTTGTGTATGACTTTGTGACCCTGTGGACTGTAGCCCGCCAAGCTCCTCTCTCTATGGGATTATCCTGGCAAGAATCCTGGAGTGGGTTGCCATTTCCTCCTCCAGAGGATCTTCTCAACTCAGGGATCAAACCTGCATTTGCTGTGACTCCTGTATTGAGATGGATCCTTACCATTGAGTCATCAGAGGAAGTCCCAAAATAGTGCTTAAAAATAACAAATGACTGTCTTCCAAAACTGCATCAGTAACACTTCATGTTAGAAATCCTTTGTTATCTTTTTGAAAGATAACAAATTTTCTATTCCAATTAAACTGTAATCATTATTGAGAATAAAAAGAATTGACAGATGATTGGAAGATATGAGCCATGAACTGGCATTATACCTTAATGGGGCTATTTCTTCAACTGTTTTTTTTTTTTTTTTTTTGGCTGTACCAGGTCTTAGTTGGTGCATGTGGGATCTAGTTCCCTGACCAGGGATCGAACCAAGGTCCCCTACATTGGGAGTGTGGAGTCTTAGCTAAAGGACCACCAGGGAAGTCCCTCAACTGGGTTATTAAATGTTGTTTCTCAGCAAAAAACTCCAGATATACTTAAGCAGTAATGACCTGCCTTTATTTACACTCTTTATTGCTGGATTTGTTGCATTTATCCATACTGTGTTTGGTGAGTGACATTACTTTTATTTCTCCTGTAATCACAAGGATGTTAGCTCAAATGGAGACCTGAGTAACAGGCAACAGTGGTTTCCAAAGAGAATCAAAAGTTTAGGAAAGTTTGGGATGGCAGATATTATTGCTGGACTTCTGGCGGTTTGTGGCTCCAGCACTGGACTGCCCTTGGCTATACCTGGGCTGGGACTGCCTGTGTGTACAGTTTGATGTTCTTGCTTTTCTGTGTGAGCTCCACATTTCCATCTCAGGAAACTCTATAAAACAGTGTGTTTGACAATCCATTTTATGAGGGACTCTTCCATGAGCTCTCTGTGCCTCTTGGGATGGGTGACAAGACGTGGCGAACTGTATCAGAACTGATCATTTTACTCAGGTCTGATGATCTTACTTACACTTCTTCAACTAAATAGTGTTCCTTTATCCTCTATAGTAGATGAAGATTTCCATGACTTCATGGATGGAGAGGGAGTTGGTGCAGCCTGTGAGTGTGTGTGTGTGTGCATGTGTGTAGAACAAGACAGGAATGTTAAGGTTTAATGAGACCCCCACATGAGGCATGCGGACATCTTTTGATAAATATCCTGATCAGGCACTGGTTGGCTGAGCAGGAAATGCTTAGTTTTTTTGTGTGTTTGGTGTTATGGATTCTCCTTCCCTCCTCTTGTGTGTGGGTTCCTCAGCTTCAGACAGACAGAAGAGAGCTATCAAAGCAAACCTGTCAGGTAAGCCAAGCTCACCCTGTCTGTTAATAAGGCGGGATTGACAAAAAAGGGAAAGCCCTGTTCCTGAAAGACTTCCAAACTTTTGGCATTTTGTCATTTGAGAAGTCTGTGGAGGATATGATGTTGAGGGTCAAGGTGTTTACTTTTGGTGACTTGGATTCATCGAGTGTTTGGTTTTCCTTGATGGTGGAGAAGGAAGGGGACCTGGGGAGAAAGGGACCTTCATGGAGTGACTAGAGGGAGGAAGTTGTGGGGCGAAGCGGCTGTTTGGCAGGTTGGGTAGGTGTTGCTGTTTCTTTGCCTTTTTCTTTGGGAAAGAAGCTTGCTTTCCCTAAGTCTTACTCAGAGTGGAAGCCTCAGTGCACCCTGAGTCACTTGGTTTAGCCTTGGGGAAGAGATGATTTAGAACATTTCTTCCAAACCACCAACTTCAGTGGATGGTGGATGGAAAACTATGGAAGACGTAATTTTTTAGTTTGGTCTCCACCATGTTTAAGTTTTTACTCCAAGGAACATTCCAACTTCTAGAGGGTAGAGGCATAGTGAGGCAGTGCTCCTGGGAGCTGAGAGCCTGCAGAGCTGCCAAGCCTGGTTTCTTTGTGTACTGCAACCAAAGCTGGTTTCCTTTCTCTTGATCTACAGACATGTGGAGTTTGGGATGGAAAAGAGTGGATGTGTTTGTGCCAGTGTCTCAGTTCATAAAGATTCCCAAAGAAGGTACCAAAAGCATATCTCCCATATGTGAACCAGGTTGACTTTCTATTGGTCTGGGACATTAAGAATACAGGGGACAAGGGCAGGCTGCCAGTAGGCTTGTTCATATGGAAGCAGATTTCTTATTCTTCTTCTGCCAGCTTTTTCCTTATTCATCTTAAGGCTCAGTTGGTATTGAGCCTGGTTGTGGTATTTACTGAGCATCCACAGTACACTAAGCATGATACTAAGGCTTTACTATTTTTTAATGTAAAATTTTGTCTTAAGGTTAAAACTGTTGTCTACTTGTCTTATAGGAGATAGTGAATCTGCATATTTTTCTTTTAAATTAGCCATGAATGTAGCATTTTGTCAAAATATTTTTAGCATGCTAATGCTAAAAGTAAATCTTGCGTAAAGAAAAACTGGCATTTCTAATTAAGGCTTTTTTTCTTTTCTTTCAGGAAGGCACCAGAGTTGTTCAACCCATATTTTTGGGGAAAATGATTAGTTATGTTGAAAACTATGATCCCACCGATTCTGCTGCTTTGCATGAAGCCTATGGCTATGTGGCAGGTCTGAGTGCCTGCGTGTTCCTGTGGGCCATTCTGCACCACTTGTACTTCTATCACATTCAGCGTGTGGGGATGAGGCTGAGAGTAGCCGTGTGCCATATGATTTACCGCAAGGTGAGTGTCACGCGGTACCATGGTGTGTACTTCTCCTGAAGCATCAGAAATATTTTGGGAACATTCTGTGTAAATTAAAAATTTTGTAACTGGGATCATTTATACTTTGCTAGGGCTTCCAGATGATGGTTCAGTGTTAAAGAATCTGCCTGCCAATGCAGGAGACACAGGTTCAATCCCTGGGTCTGAAAGATCCCCTGGAGAAGGAAATGGCAACCCACTCCAGTATTCTTGCCTGGAGAATTCCCTGGAGCCTGGCAGGCTACAGTCCACAGGGCCGCAAAGAGTTGGACATGACTGAGTGACTGAACACAAACAGAGGAGCTTATTTGCATCAAGCCAAGTTTATTGTTCTTTAAGCAAACTTTATAAATATATAATAAAAGTTTTTCTATTGAGATCAGGTCAAGACTGCCTTTGATGACTTTTAGTCATAGGCTGTTGCACAATATCTACTAAATTTGTAACAAAATCTAATTAAAAAATTTGTACCAAATGTATCACATTGATTTTCATTGATTTTCAGTGTTTTCATGCCAAAGTAGTATTGTTGAAAATTTTGTTGCTGTTATTGTTCATTAAAACCTTCATTTATATCAAAGTTGTATTTGAAAGTGAACTTCAGTGATTGGATTAAATCTAAGAGATTTAATTTATAAAATTTAATATAAATTTAATTTATAAAATTAAATCTAGGAGAACAGAATGTGTTTGAGATAGGTAATGATTATATTTTTATATGGCCCATTTATTCATAGTCAGTAAAATTGTGTTAACTAAAGAAAAATATAAATAGAATCTATGCCATATACAGACTCACTCACTATATTCTATGATTATGATTGTTTTAATGGCATTAAAGAAAATAGTTGGATATTTGGGATAAAACTTGAAATTTTCCATTGTCCCTGGCAATTTTGGAGAGAATTTGTGGCTGTTCATTCAAATTATTTTCATAATTAAATATTTACTTTTTTGTCTTTAGCATGCATTATAGTAGTTTTAATAAGACCTGATTTGATGTGTTCAGTGATTTTCTATTGAGAAATGCCATAGAATTATTTCATAGTTTATTCCGGTCTTAGTTGATATAAAAAGAGTAAGGATTTCAGGTGTCTTTACAAAGAAATTGCCAAACAGATGCACTATGTCAGGAGCTAAAGAATCCATATAAATTTGTTCCTGGGTATCTTGTTGCTCTGCATTGTTTGTTTTTTTTTCAAATCCTTACTTTACTGTATTGTATACTTGAAAGTTGCTGAGAGAGTGGATCTTAGTGATCTCATCTCACATACACAAAATGATAACTACATGAGATGATGAATATGTTCATTGGTTTTACTACAGAAATCATTTCCCAATGTGTATTTTTAACAAAACATCATGTTGCACACCTTAAATATATATAATTTTTATTTAAAAAATCCTTATTGAAAACTAAACCAAACAAGTTAAATCAAAATTATTGTTTCTTTTACCTGGTTGCTACTTATCTAGAGTTTCTGTTTCTTAGGAATGCTTTTCTTTGCAAAATGTAAGGTGTCTTCTCATCTTTCCTTGAGCAGAGTCTTATTAATGTCAGGGCTCTGTGAATCCATGGCCCTGACATCTCACAGTCTGTTTGGCTATTGCACGAGGTTTCCTCTTGGGTGATGCGGAAATGGCAGCGGTGCCCGTACACTCTAGTCAGGGGTCTTCCTTGCCCTCCATCGTCATCTTGTGTATGTGCGTGCTTGCTCAGTCGCTAAGTTGTGCTCTGTGACCCCATGAACTGTAGCCCGCCAGGCTCCTCTGTCCATGGACTTCTCCAGTCAAGGATATAAGAGTGCATTGCCATTTCCTCCGCTAGGAGAGGTAGATTTTTAACCACTGAGCCACCAGGGAAGCCCTATTCTCCTTCACAGTCCACCATTTAGCAGACAAATACTTAGATTTCCCCACAAATGATGTTTGTCTTCCTAGATCATGCTTAGCTCCATGAATATGCATGAAATTCACCAGAACTATACTGTGAAAGCCTTAAGTTAGGTGTGAGGTGATGGGTCAGTCAAAGCTTACTCTTCGCTGTATAGGTGAGCCATAGTCCACCTGTTTTTATTCTTTCCAACTAATACTTTGGAACATCACCTTTGGGAAATCTGATCTGACCTGGTACGTATCCTTGTGTGAATGTAAATTTCTCCCAAAGGTTTTCATTTGCTGGCTTGATTATGCATGAAAGAACTGTCCCTGTATGAAGTCAGGAATTTTAAAGGTTAAACCATAGACTTAATCTGAAATTCAAGAAATGTGGGAAAGACAAATTTCCTTGTGCCTAGCCTTGCATCTAGTGCATCCCTGGTAGCTCAGATGTTAAAGAATCTGCCTGCAATGAAGGAGACTTCGGTTCAATTCCTGGGTCAGAAAGATGCCCTGGAGAAGGAAATGGCAGCTCACTCCAGGATTCTTGCCTGGAGAGTCCCATGGACAAAGGAACCTGACGGGCTACAGTCCACAGGGTTGCAAAGAGTTGGACATGACTGAAGTGACTTAGCACTAGGACCAGCCTTGCACCCAGAATCCTGCTGAGGTGTAGAAATAAGACACTTCTTTTTTGTAGGTTACAGGTGGGCTGATTCCTTGGGGGCAAATCTGGTGCTACAGAGCAGCTCTGAACATTTGTGGTTCTTATTCAACTTCTAATCCTTGGTCCTAGGAAGAAATCACATTGGGTGTTAGAAATGGAATGGCTACTAAGCTCATGGTCATAATTTGTCTGCACCATTGGTTCAAGGCTGGGGCACATCTCCAGGAGCTCTCTAAGGCTGCACATCTGCAGCTTCCTAAAATGCCCCATTCAGCATTTCAGAGCTCTTTTCAGCTGAACTTAGAATGATCTTTTAGGAGGTATCATATGTAAAATGAATTGTCATTTCTTCACATTTCCACAGCTTTGGTAAAATTACTTTTGGCTTTTTATCATTGATTTTTTACATTGTGGCAAAATATACACAATATAACATTTACTATCTTAACTCTTTTTAATTACACTGTTTATTTGCCGGTACCAGCTGGCAATGTGAACAGGTCTCGACCGCAGCAACATGGAAGCCTGAGAAAAAGGAGCTGAAAGTAAAGAATGGGGTCGAGAGGACTGACTGCTCTTTAGGCAAGTCAGCGATTTTATTGAGTAAAGCAGCTACCTTTATCCTAGTACAAGCAGAAAACATAGTTCATAAAAAATGCCGTCTGGTGTTTGTCACATCAATACAATTTTTTTGTCTTAAGTGATTGCAGAAGCTTACATCTTGTTTTTGGCATTCCAAGATAAACTACTAAGTGAAGGTCACTACTACGTTTTTCTCAAGGAAGAACAAAGGAGGCCCAGCAAATGTTTTACTACTTTATCATGGGGTGGCGGGACAGGGAACAGCCTCTTTCAAGGCTTTCCCAGGGCCTTTCTGGGCCTTGAGCAGGCCGGCTCCCTGCATTTATTCACATCAAGCACTTTCACATTGCTTTGCAGCCGTCCCCACTGTCCATAGCCAGAACTTCCCACCCCTCACCCATCACCATTCTGCTGCTTCTCTCTCTGAATGTGGCTACTCTAGGTGCTGTATATAAGTGGAATCACACAATGTTTGTCATTTTATGTCTAGCTTATGTCTTGTAGCACAATGTCTTCAAGGCTCATCTATGTTGAAGCCGGTGCCAGGATTTAATTTCTTTTTAAGGCTGAATAATATTCCATTATAGGTCTATACAACATTGTTTGTATCCATTCATCTGTCAGTAGATTTTTGGTTTATTTCCACCTTTGGCTATTGTGAACATTTGCACACAGGTGTGCAAAAAGACCAAGTTTGTGTGTTCAGTTCTTTTGAGTACATCCGCAAAAGTGGTCTTGCTGTACTATATGCTTATTTTATGTTTACTTTTTTGAGGAACTGCTACACTCTCTTGCATCACAGCTATACTGTTTTACATTCACACTTGATTGCTGAGTTTCCTGTTTAACTCAAGGACTAGATGAGAAGTTTTTATGAACTATGACATTTTTGTTTGGATCAGAGCCTCCACTTGATGGTTTGTTGAAACAACTTGTGGTGTCTGTTCAGGTTCCTCAGCTTTCTAGGGCATTTTTCAGAGTTGTTTTTTATTTATTTTTTTCTACCAAATAAAGTAACTGTGAAACACAGGATGTGTTTTTTAAATTCAGAAGACTGGTATTAAGAACAGCGGTTCCTCACAGGAATCGTGTTCTGAGCATTATACTCATTTCAGAATGAAAGGGAATGAAGATTCCCTTTAATACTCTTCAGAATGTAGATTCCGTACTCTTTAGAATGAAGAAGTTAAACCAAAAGTGTTAAAATGACATCACCCACAGAATTAATGATCGATCCGGATTTGTAGTCCAAGTCTCTTATTTTATTTTGTTAATGCAGTCTCTCTACTCTCATCTAATTTGCCTCAAAATTACTTTAGTTGACCCCTAAGTCTAAAAAGCTGAATGCCGAAAAACTGATGCTTTTGAACTGTGGTGTTGGAGAAGACTCTTGTGAGTCCCTTGGACTGTAGGGAGATCCAACCAGTCCATCCTAAAGGAGATCAGTCCTGGGTGTTCATTGGAAGGACTGATGCTGAAGCTGAAATTCCAATACTTTGCCATCTCATGCGAAGAGTTGACTCATTGGAAAAGACCCTGATGCTGGGAGGGATTGGGGGCAGGAGGAGGAGGGGACAACAGAGGATGAGATGGCTGGATGGCATCACTGACTCGATGGGCATGAGTTTGAGTAGGCTCTGGGAGTTGGTGATGGACAGGGAGGCCTGGTGTGCTGCGATTCATGGGGTAGCAAAGAGTTGGATACGACTGAGTGACTGAACTGAACTGAAGTCTAAATCTACACCCTTTACACTTTAGGCAGGTTCAAGTTCACTGAGGAACTGGGTGGTGGATTTGCTTCTACCGCCTCTCTTCCGTTTGCCATCCTTGCTGGCAGGGCTGCCACCACATTAAGTTAAATGCTGAAGAAGGGTCCCTAGAGCCCCACTTTCAGGGGTCATCCTGCTCCTGCTGATACCACTCAGGACCCCAGAACACCTGCTCCATTGTGTTATGTTCTAAGATGTCTTGGTATCACCTTAGGAATTTGGATCTCTGTCTCCCTCTCTCATTTCAGTCACTTCGCCTGAGCAGCTCGGCCATGGGGAAGACCACCACAGGCCAGATAGTCAACCTGCTGTCCAACGATGTGAGCAGGTTTGACCAGGTGAGCTGCCCCTGAGGGATCCTCTTCCATGTCCCGTCCTTCTCACTGGGTTCAGCTCACTGGGATGCCAGGTGCCAGCCATTTGGTGTCAGCCAGGGCTCTGTTGAGGACTTAAGACAAGTATTCTCTTTATCTAACTCTCATTTCCTCTGTGCACCTTAGATGTAATAATGTGGGTTGTCCTGTAGATGAGGGTTTTGTTTTTCTAGTAACAGACAGGCAGCAGTGTTCTTGCCCGGCTCAGTGAGTGTCCACAGCGGTCCTCCTAGCATGGCCCTTCTTGGCGCGTGGAGTCAGTGTTGCTGCCTGAACTGTCTCCCTCCTCCTCTGGCTGCTGAAGGCCTGCTGGGCAGGGGTGGTTCTTTCCCCTGTGCCCTGTTCAGTGCCTGCTGCCTAGGGAGCCTGCGAGGAATAATGCCAAGTGGGTGACTCTCAGCCAGACACAACCTACTCCCTTCTGTCCCCTCACTCTTTTTTTCCACTGACTTTATGAATAGATCACAGTATCTAGGGCCTTGTAGCTGTTGGTCAGATCCGTGTTGCACTAGACACTTCTCTTTCAGTTTTTCATTCATCAAACATGAAGTAAGGCCGCTACTCAGTTTCAGAGTTGAATATGATTTAGTTTTTGCTGTGGAGAAACCACAGCCCATTAGGGAGGTAAGTAGACAAATAATTACTGGAGAGTGTGGTACTTACCATAATATAAGGTTTTCTTGGGTGCTAGAGTGAGATGGGCAAGGAATATAGAGTGCAGTGAGAGGTTGGGGATGCCCTGAGCTCATCTGTGGTGTAGACAAAATCAACATCTTCCTTCAGTGCTGCTGGTCGGGTTCTCTCTGGACGTCCCTGAAGCTGGCCCTGTGCTGCCAGGAACAGCATCATCTGGAGTGGATACAGGTTTCTGCTTTAGCAGGTTTAAAACCCACTGAGATATCCTTGTTTAGGATATCTAAACAAGATAGAACAGATAGTTCTTTCAGAGCGGATTGTTTCTACCCTGTGTATTTATTGATTTTGATTGTATATAGTTCTAAGTAGGCTTTGTCTTTCTCTTTTAAGGTAACGATGTTCCTGCACTATCTGTGGGTGGGGCCACTGCAGGCTGTTACAGTGACTGCCCTGCTCTGGATGGAAATAGGAATGTCGTGTCTTGCTGGGATGGCAGTTCTCATTATTCTTCTGCTTTTGCAAAGCTGCTTTGGAAAGTTCTTTTCATCACTCCGGTAAGAGAAACACTGGTTTAAAAAATAGGTGATATGTGCTTGGTAATGTCCACAGTCTGCCAATGAAGTCAACGCTTCTGTTCAAAAACAAAACCAATGCCTTCTCTAGTCTCTTCATCGCATGGGTCGTAGACCCTTCCGGCTTAGCCAGTGGAGGCTCCAGCCTTAAGCTGAAGGCTGATCTTTAAAAAGAAAAGGTGATGGCATTCACTGGCTCCTCCTGACACTGCACTTCAGTACTTAGAGAGTCCTTAAGAAGAATTTACCAATATCCAAGTTATTTAAATATTATTAAAAAGAGTAATAATTTTACAGGCCCATTTCTAGCTGCATTTATTTTTGTTAAGCTTGTTTTAGAGCCACTTTCAGGTAGTGTATTTATGTCTTGTTTTATTTCAATGTTTGTATTAAGTTATAGGTACCCCAAGGGCAAGGTTGACCTTAATTATGTCTTTATAAAGCCCCACAGTCCCAGCAGCATATGTGATAGAACTGTGGCTGGTGATGAAGGGCCTAATGGTGATGAGATAGACCTGAAGCAGGTCCCAGAGGGTTGGAGGTGGGTCATTGTCCAGGTTTTCAGGTGATGGAGGTGGTGTGCTGATTGAAATACTTTTTCTTTGAGGTTTTTTGTGTTTTTTTTTGCCTTTTCTGGTGACTTTATGTGTGGTATTTTCATCTATTTAGAATTTCCTTTCCTGTCTTTGGTATGGAGCGATGTTCCTTATCTTTCAAGACTCTGTTCCAATGCTACCAGGTCTCTAAAGATTTTCTTGCTCTCTTTTCCCAGTGGAATTAACAGCCCCATCTTTTCAGCTCCCCAGAATTTTAATTTAATTTTTAAATTAATAATAGTTTAAGTTTAATTTTAATTCAGCTCCTACTTTTTTTTTTTACATCATAGACATTGTCTTCCTGTTACATCCCTTTCTGCCTTCTCTGCCCAAGCACAACCTCCTTGGGAAGATGGTTTGTATCTGACTCATTTCAGGTCTTCCTTAGCTGATATAGCAAGTTCTCCAAGTTGCTTCTTGAATTGGACTGAATGGTTGACTTCCTAATTTAAGTTTTTCTCAATCTGTACTTTGAATAGGACTTGCCTGTGTTGTCAGCTCAAAAGAGCTATAGAAAATAATTTGATCACTGATCCCTCCCTGTGCCCACTGTTGCTGCCACAGAAAGTTGGGCTGTGATCACTAAGGCTCATCTCTCACGTCTGTCCCCTCAGGAGTAAGACCGCAGCTCTCACAGACAACAGGATCAGTACCATGAGTGAAGTTATAAGTGGCATCAAAACAATAAAAATGAATGCTTGGGAAAAGTCGTTTATAGACCTTATTTCCACTCTGAGAAGGTAAGTTTTTTTTTTTTTTTTTAATATATCACAGTGTATATTTGTACTGTTTTATTTCCTGTTTTTACTAAATGGATTAGAAGTCTTACCAAGTTTTCACATTAAGGTAAATTTAAATACTACCCCTCCATCCCCCCATATGTGGCAGGAGGGTTAAGGGAAATAGTAGAGATGTCATTTTAAGCTGCTCTTCCATTTACCATCATCTTGAAATACATATGATTCTTACTTATACAGAAATGAAATTCCAAATACTTCTTAATTCTGCAAATTCCAAATAAGCAATGATTCTAAGATATTAGTGTTTGAGATGATATTTAAACGAAAGCTATAATATATGTATAGCTAATATATTATATATAGCTATAGCTATATATATTATAGCTAATATGTATAGCTTATAATATAGCACAAATGGGGAGATTATAGATTGAGTATACCTGTATTAGGCCAAACATTATAAATCAGTATTACTCATTCCAAACAGAGCCATGAAAATACTATTCCTTTGTCTTTGCTTTATGTTTGTAGATTTTAAAAAATGTTTCATTTAAATATCTGATGAGTGTTTATACTCGAGCACGGGGTACTTAGAATTCCCTGGCAGTACCCTGTCACCTCTCACTTTGCATCTTTGTGGGGGCCCGCCCTCTGCTGGAAATACATTCTCATCTTCCTTCTTCTCTTGTCTCTGCCAGTCCTAACTGACTCCTGCTCATCTTCTCAGGGTCCACATGTGTGTGACTTGTCCCATCTCTACTGCTTTGAGTTACATGACTCTGTTCTGTGCTCCTGTGGGAATGTGCTGACTGCCTTTGTCTAATGTCTTGGTGTCTCACAAATTTTGTGTTTATTCTTTTTTAAAAATGTACACACACATCATACTACATCTTTTTTATTTCTTTATTCACTTATTTTTGGTTGTGTTGGGTCTTCATTGTTGCGCACAGGATTTCTTTAGTTGTGGTGGGTGGGGGCTACTTTTTCATTGCTGTACTTGGGCTTCTAATTGGGGTGGTTTCTCTCATTCCAAAGCACAGGCTCTTGGTGCACAGGCTTCAGTAGTTGCAGTAGTGCATGAGCTCTAGAGCTTGGGCTCAGTAGTTGTGGTGCACAGGCTTAGCTGCTCTGCAGCATGTGGAATCTTCTAGACCAGAGATTGAGCCCATGTCCGCTGCATTGGGAGGCCAATTCTTATCCACAGAACCATCAGGGAAGTCCCGGGGTTTATTATTCTTTTCCTCTCCAAGTTCATGAGGTCCTCGTGGGGGTGGGCATTTTTTTCTGTCATCAATGAGGAACCCAGCACAGGACATGTGGCTGTGAATGCTTGTTGAATGTATGTTCAAATCCTGTCGGATTAAGCCCAGTTTTTTAAAAGTGTGACATTAAGGCTTCATTTAGTTGGAAAAGTGAAGTGGTGATGAAGTGCATAGTCCTTGGTTCGGAGCAGAGTCCCAGTTGTGCACTCTGAGTGTCTCCATGACATGATTGATGGTTTACCTTAATCTGTGTCCACTCCCTAAAAAGGGGCCACTCACAAAAGGGCACTTGAATTCATGTGTTGGATGTCAATGGTTCTTAAAAATGCTTTTTCCTACTGTCCTTTCTAGGAAGGAAATTTCCAAGATTCTGAAAAGTTCCTACCTTAGAGGAATGAATTTAGCATCATTTTTCGCTGTCAGCAAAATTATGATTTTTGTCACTTTCATCACCAATGATCTCCTTGACAACCGGATCACAGCCAGCCAAGTGTTTGTAGTGGTGACACTGTTCGAGGCTCTGCGGTTTTCGAGTACCCTGTACTTCCCCATGGCTGTCGAGAAGGTGTCAGAGGCCGTTGTCAGCATCCAAAGAATCGAGGTTTGGTGACAGATAACTTTTTTTCCATCGCAGGTGGATTCTTTGTAAATTGCCACCTTTTTTGTGGTGTCACTGTGTTCCAGTTAGGTGAGATTTACCCCTCTGAGTGTCAAATCTGCCAATCATTTCAAACTGTCTTACTTATTCCTGTCTCGTCTTAGGTAGAATGCATCACAAAGAACGTAGGATCCCTGCTTATTTAGGGGCAATAATATCAATAGCAGTGGCACAGGCTCTAAGTGCAGCAATGCCTGGAGGGCAATTAAAGTGACTAAAAGCAAGAGAAGGAAGGAAGCAGACTGCATCTCCTGTGTTGACTCAAATGAGATTTGTGTGTGTGTGATGAGGTTTCTATACTATAAAAAACCTATTACCCATAAAACAGATCAGTCATACTGGGTCATTTCTGATTCCCTGAGTTTATCATTCTTATGGGACTTCTAGTAACACTAATAAGGGATGGTCCATGAAGCTTACATAATTTCGTTTTCATAGCTTTCATGTCTTGAAATAAGACATTTAGGGATATCCTTGGACTGTAGTGATGTAATGAGTGACATGGTAATTTGTTCATGATGGAAGCTTCATGTGTGTGTTGTGCAGCTGTGGTTTTATTATTGTTGATATTAGTCAAATTTTTCTTAAGGCCTTTAATTAATTGGATGTGACCCACCTACATTATTGAAGATAATCTGCTCTATGCTTTACTGAGAGTCTACTTATTTAAGTGTCCATCTCATCTGAAAAATACTTTCACTGTAATATGTATTTGAACAAGTGTCTGGGGACTGTGGTTTACCTAAATTAACATAAAAGTAACCATCATACCCTCTTGAATCCCTATCTTCTCCTTTGAGCTCTTGGACATGACTTTGTCCTCATTAAGCTAGGTGTAAATGGATTTCTTTCTCTCCCTAAGCTCCAGACTTACCTAAAGGGCAGATACAGTGCCTCATTCATCTTTGTAGTCCTTTCAAATAGCAGATGCTCAGAAAGTATTTAACTGAAGAAAACTTCCAGCTTAATCATGTCTGGGCTCTTGCAAATGCCTAACTATTAAGTATGGTTGTAGTGGAAAAAGTAGTAATTCTGATTCTTTGTTAGATTATGTGATACACCAAGAACTATGACATGAAAGGGGTCCTGCAGAAGGTTTTCAGGGAATTGTGCTCAAATATTTGGGTAGGGTTTTTTATTCCTTTCCCACCAAAGTGCAATTGAACTGTGCGAGGCTTGAAATGTCTTCCCATGTAGATGTGTGCAGTAATATTAAAATTATGATCTGGGGAGAACATTGGATTTTCTGGGGCTGACAAATTTTCTTTGTCAGGCTGCTTCACATTGTGATGAAGGAAGCACTTGTGATCTGGGCAGAAAACCTAAAATTTCCCTTGTGTATACAAGATGTCTGGCATGAAGTTAGTCTAGGAATTTAGAGATCTGTCAGCAGTAGCTATTTTCAGTAAAGATGGGACCAATGGCTGAGAATAAGAGTGGTGAGAAGAGTAGGTGTTATTGTGGGAAACTGCTTCCTGATGAAGTGAAGTTGCTCAGTTGTGTCCGACTCTTTGCAACCCCATGGACTGTGGCCTACCAGGCTTCTCCATCCATGAGGTTTTCCAGGCAAGAATACTGGAGTGGGTTGCCATTTCCTTCTCCAGGGGATCTCCATGACCCAGGGATCAAACCCAGCTCTCATGCATTGCAGGCAGATGCTTTACCCTCTGAGTCACCAAGGAAGCTCTTGCTTCCTGGTAGGTTGAAGTAATTGGTGTAAGACTTTCATTTAGATATTAGATGCTTCTTCAGCCCATATAGTTTCTAAAACCTTTTAAAATATTTAGTTGTCTAGTTCATCAGAATCACCTAGTTTAGTTCAGTTCAATTCAGTTGCTATCGTCTCCGACTCTTTGCAACCCCATGGACCGCAGCACACCAGGCCTCCCTGTCCATCGTGAACTCCCGCAGCCTACTCAAACTCATGTCCATTGAGTTGGTGATGCCATCCAACCATCTCATCCTCTGTTGTCCCCTTCTCCTCCTGCATTGATCTTACTCAGCATCAGGGTCTTTAAACATATATGATCATACTTTGGAGTTTCTGATTCACTTGGATTTTTTATTTCTTTCCCACCAAAATTCAATTAAACTGTCTGAGGCTTGAAATTCCTCCCCATGTAGATGTGTACAATAATATTATGATTATGACCTGGGGAAAACTTTGACTTTTCTGGGGCTGACAAATTTTCTTTGTCAAGCTGCTTTGTGTTCTGATGAAGGAAGCACTTTTGATTTGGGCAGAATCAAATGTGATTTAAATGGTCTAGTGATTTTCTCCACTTTCTTCAATTTAAGTCTGAATTTGGCAATAAGGAGTACATGATCTGAGCCACAGTCAGCTCCCAGTCTTGTTTTTGCTGACTGTATAGAGCTTCTCCATCTTTGGCTGCAAAGAATATAATAAATCTGAGTTTGGTGTTGACCATCTGGTGATGTCCATGTGTAGAGTCTTCTCTTGTGTTGTTGGAAGAGGGTGTTTGCTATGACCAGTGTGTTCTCTTGGCAAAACTCTGTTAGCCTTTGCCCTGCTTCATTCTGTACTCCAAGGCCAAATTTGCCTGTTACTCCAGGTGTTTCTTGACTTCCTACTTTTTCATTCCAGTCCCCTATAATGAAAAGTACATCTTTTTTGGGTGTTAGTTCTAAAAGGTCTTGTAGGTCTTCATAGAACCATTCAACTTCAGCTTCTTCAGTATTACTCATTGAGGCATAGGCTTGGTTTACCGTGATATTGAATGGTTTGCCTTGGAAACAAACAGATCATTCTGTCATTTTTGAGATTGCATCCAAGTACTGCATTTTGGACTGTTTTGTTGACCATGATGGCTACTCCATTTCTTCTAAGGGATTCCTGCCCACAGTAGTAGATATAATGGTCATCTGAGTTAAATTCACTCATTCCAGTCCATCTTAGTTAGCTGATTCCTAGAATGTCGACATTTACTCTTGCCATCTCCTGGTTGACCACTTCCAATTTGCCTTGATTCATGGACCTAACAACCCAGGTTCCTATGCAATATTGCCCTTTACAGCATTGGACCTTGCTTCTGTCACCAGTCATATCCACAGCCGGGTATTGTTTTTGCTTTGGCTCCATCCCTTCATTCTTTCTTTAGTTATTTTTCCACTGATCTCCAGTAGCAAATTGGGCACTTACCGACCTGGGGAGTTCATCTTTCTGTGTCCTATCTTTTTGCCTTTTCATATTGTTCACGGGGTTCTCAAGGCAAGAATACTGAAATGGTTTGCCATTCCATTTTCCAGTGCACCACATTCTGTCAGAACTATGGGCAGAGTTTCATGACATTGTACAGGAGACAGGGATCAAGACCATCCCCAAGAAAAAGAATTGCAAAAAAGCAAAATGGCTGTCTGAGGAGGACTTAAAAATAGCTGTGAAAAGAAGAGAACCAAAAATCAAAGGAGAAAAGGAAAGACATACCCATTTGAATGCAGAGTTCCTAAGAATAGCAAGGAAAATAAGAAAGCCTTCCTCAGCGATCAATACAAAGAAATAGAGGAAAACAATAGAATAGGAAAGACCAGAGATCTCTTCAAGAAAATTAGAGATACCAAGGGAACATTTCATGCAAAGATGGGCTCAAAGGAAAGAAATGGTATGGAATCTAACAGAGACAGAGGATATTAAATGAGGTGGCAAGAATACACAGAAGAACTATACAGAAAAGATCTTCATGACCCAGATAATCATGATGGTGTGATCACTCACCTAGAGCCAGGCATCCTGGAATGTGAAGTCAAGTGGGCCTTAGGAAATACCACTATGAACAAAGCCAGTGGAGGTGATGGAGTTCCAGTTGAGCTATTTCAAATCGTAAAAGATGATACTGTGAAAATGATGCGCTCAATATGTCAGCAAATTTGGAAAACTCAGCAGTGGCCACAGGATTGGAAAAGGTCAGTTTTCATTTCAATCCCAAAGAAAGAGAATCCCAAAGAATGCTCAAACTACCACACAATTGCACTCATCTCACACGCTAGTCAAGTAATGGTCAAAATTCTCCAAGCCAGGCTTCAGCAATACGTGAATCATGAAGTTCCAGATGTTCAAGCTGACTTTAGAAAAGGCAGAGGAGCCAGAGATCAAACTCCCAACACTTGATGGATCATCAAAAAAGCAAGAGAGTTCCAGAAAAACATCTATTTCTGTTTTATTGACTATGCCAAAGCCTTCAACTGTGTGGATCACAATAAATTGTGGAAAATTCTTCAAGAGATGAGAATACCAGACCACCTGACCTGCCTCTTGAGAAGCCTGTATGCAGGTCAGGAAGCAATAGTTAGAACTGGACATGGAACAGCAGACTGGTTCCCAATAGGAAAAGGAGTACATCAAGGCTGTATATTGTCACTGTGCCTATTTAACTTATATGCAGACTACATCATGAGAAATGCTGGGCTGGATTAAGCACAAACTGGAATCAATATTGCTGGGTGAAATTTCAATAACCTCAGATGTGCAGATGACACCACCCTTATGGCAGAATGTGAAGAAGAACTAAAGAGCCTGTTGATGAAAGTGAAAGAAGAGAGTGAAAAAGTTGGCTTAATGCTCAACATTTAGAAAACTAAGATCATGGCGTCTGGTCTCATCACTTCATGGCAAATAGATGGGAAAACAGTGGAAACAGTGGCTGACTTTATTTATTTATGTTTTTCATTTATTTATATTAGTTGGAGGCTAACCACAATATTGTAGTGGCTTTTGCCACACATTGATATGAATCAACCATGGATTTACATGTGTTCCCCATCCTGAGCCCCCCCCCCTCCCCCCCATCCCACCCCTCTGGGTCATCCTAGTGCACCAGCCCTGAGTACTTGTCTCATGCATCAAACCTGGACTGGCGATCTGTTTCACAATTGATAATATACATGTTTCAATGCTATTCTCTCAGATCATCCCACCCTCACCTTCT